AGCCACAGATATCTAGTTTCCCATCACGATAATATGTTTTATGTGAAAATACTTTTCGAACTCACTCTCACAATGCCCTCTCCCCACTTCCCACCTTCCTCCACATGATATACAAAGTACAAAACCAGGCTCATTTATTCTTCTTTTCCAATAAACGAGTCTTCGCGGTAACGTCGTTCACTGTAATGTCGTTTTTTGTATTCGCGGTAATGTCGTTCGCGGTATTGTCTCGCGGTAATGTCGTGTCACGATCGGAAGATCATATTTCGTTAAACTATTTTAAACACAGAAAACCACTAGTACAATTAGCATTGTAGATTTGAACATTTTTTGTTTAAATTAAACAAAGTTTACCGTTAAATTCACAAGACTATTGTCTACTAAGAAATATGAATAAGTTTAAGGGTACCCTCATCCCCCTCTTTTTTCACCTTGTTGCCAAAAGCGGAGCACACGTCCGACTGAGCTCCAATTAATAGCAGAAATAGAACATCGAAAACGAAAATCGATTTATTTTTGCCCAGAATTTTCTGAGAAGTTCTTATATGGATTTTCTGGAAAATTCCAGTTTTCATCGGATCACATTACGACCCCTCGAAAAAAGGATCCGATCGAGTTCGGATTTTTACCACAGATACTTCAGACGCTACGATATACTTATAGTGATATATGTAGATATACGAAAAATGCTGAAAGCCAGTGAAAAAAATCCTTCTCAAGATATACAAAAAATGCTGAAAATCACGCAAAAAAAGTCAGATTTTTCAGTTTTTTTCACTGACTTTCAGCATTTTTCGTATATCTCGAGAAGGAGAGTATGTCTTTTGGAAAAAAAGATTTGAATTCTGAGATAGGGTCTGAAGTATCTGTGGTAAAAATCCGAACTCGATCGGACCCTTTTTTCGAGGGATCGTAATGTGATCCGATGAAAACTGGAGTTTTCCAGAAAATCTATATAAGAACTTCTCAAAAAATTCTGGGCAAAAATAAATCGATTTTCATTTTCGATGTTCTATTTCTGCTATTAATTTGAGCTCAATCGGAGGTGTGCTCCGCTTTAGGCAACAAGGTGAAAAAAGAGGGGGGGGTTCCCTTAAGGCTACAACGTGGAACGTTACAATGGATCTAATATAAGTCGACGGTGTATCTAGACGCAATGACACTTTTGCAGAGTTCCACTGTGGTAACCTTAAGTTTTTTCTCATTTCTTAGTATACTTTAAGAGTGCATACATGAGCTGCAGTGGAATCTTACCCAAGCATGAAATTTCATAAGAAATAAGCTAGCTGTTCTTGCTGAAGCAGCGCCCACTTCTCCACTGACTGCCGCTAGCGAAATGAGTAAAAGTTAGCGGGTGAAGCTAGCGGCCCCCGCTAATCCGCTTCAGTACTAGTTGCAGCTGGTATATATAAAATGAAAAAATTGAACGGAAGAAAACGAAAAAGAAGTTTCTACATAGATTCGAACTCTTCAATCTCAAATATATGTATTACTTTCTGTTCTGATGAACTAGTAGCGGTTCCAAAATGTAACGCAGGTGGTTACTTTTTGAATAACTATTGATAGGAACGACATAGAGACCTGTGGTTTTCGCTGTTCCATAGGCAAGACTTGAACGGAGCTTTTCATAAGCGGCTTTTTTGTGAAAAACCGGTTTTTCTGTGTTACTGGCAAAAATTAAAATTCTTATATCTTGGTCAAATCTCATGCTGACTCAAGGAAAAAGTCACGTTGCTGACTCAAAAAAAGACTTAAGAGGTGCCATATATTGTTGATCAAGCCGAAAAAGTGGTCCAGCAGAACACTGATACTTTGAGATTTTTCAGAAGGTTTCTGGAAAATCCTAAACTAATGCCCGGCTGAAATTCACCTTTTTCGTCTTCGATTATGATTTATGAGCTGTCCTGAGCGTTTCCTGAAAATTTCCTTGTGTCAACATGAGATTTGACCAAGATATAAGGAATTTAATTTTTGCTAGTAACAGGTTTTTCACAAAAAAGCCTCTGACGAAGTTATTTTAATTAAAAACAAATATTGCCACTATGCTTAGCGTAGTCGATTAGCTATAGTCCATGGCATTTCAAGCTTCCCAGAAATGTCTGCTCGCAGATAGACATGTGCTCGGGGAAAGAGCCCGGTCCAAACGATGATAGTTGGGGAGTTGTGAGTTGCATAATTTTGTAGAGCAACGTCCGGACTACCTACGCATGCAAAAAATTACTAACATTGTATGTTAGTTTTCGGAGAATGAAGCTAGTTTTCCGAAGATCCTCTGGTAACCCGGTCTTTAAAACTTTTTCAAAAATTGTTTCCGCTTATGAAAAGCTTTGTTCAAGCCTTGGCTATCGAACAGCGAAAACCTCAGGTTTCTATGGCATTCCTGTCAATAGTTATTCGAAAGCAACCACCTGCGTTGTATTTTGGAACCGATAGTAGTGGATTGAACTTCAACTTTAATTAGATTATTATAATTAGGATTATTCACCATGAAGAAAGCATTTCTCAGAGTTTAATGTAGAGACAATAATACAGAAAATTCAGTTTCCAATACTTTATTCGATACGTACAATGTTCGAGAACGCTTTCTTCATACTAAAAGATCAAAAATAAATAAAAAAATCGCATTTTTACCCTAAAAGAAGTTTTTTCTACACTCGTACCAAAAAGGAGAAAATATTGAAAATTAAATTTTACACACTATTGTTTCTAGGTTCAACTCTAAGAGATGCTTCCTTCGTGGAAAACTAAGTTACTGTATGCAATTTCTTAGCTAATTCGTTACTAGCTGAAGCGGTCGCTATAGCGCCGGTTCTATGGTGTGTACGTTTATGCAGCTGGTTGCAACAGGTATCGAAACTAGCATAGCTAACTGTGGCACCCGCTTCAATATGGTTACATTTTTTATAGCTAGCTGTAGTGGGCGCTACTAGCTTGTTTTTTCATGCTTGGGCAGTATTTAACACTCAAAAATTGACTGAATACTCAAGTGCTGAGGACTAACACCTTTTATCCTCATGGTCTAACAAACTCAGACGTAGATAATGAGTTGGACTACCTACTTCAAGCACTGATTTGCGTAGCAGAAAAAAACTGAGAATAATACGCTAATAATTTAGCCGATTTTTTATTAATACTCAATTTTTTTTTATCGCTCTTCAGTTTTTATACGGATGCATATGATTTATTTTTTCTTAGAGATATGTTGATTCTTCTGTTTCTCTGAGGTTTCGCGTTGTAATGAATATGATTTATGTGAAAAAAAAATTGTTTTGAGGATATTTATTTACTATAAACGTACACATTTAAAAACATGTGAATTTTTTAACAGTAAAACGAAAGGGAATATATTAATATACCAACATTATTGATTTCATAGCTATCAACAGATATATATATATATTGTTAAATGTCCTCGTTTGAGAATTTGTCTGACGATGTTTTAATGTTAGTATTCGAACGAATTGATGTCTATAATCTCTTTTGTTCGTTTTACAATCTGAACCATCGTATTAATAGTATTCTTACCGACAATCGCTTAAAACTTTATCTAAACACACGAACAGTCGGCCTGGACATTTATTTTCGCAATGTGATACTAAAGACGATTATCGGTGATCAACTTGTCTCGTTAAGAATGGCGTTTTATTCCAATTTTTATGCGCTTAACCTCACAAAATTTGGCTTATCTATTCGTTCATTGACCATTGATCATTGTCATGCTAAAGATTTACTGGGTATTGCAGAAAATATGCCTAATATTCGTTCCTTCAATATATTGAGTTTAGATGGCAAAGTTGATGTGAAATCAGATACCACCATATGCACTGAAATGCGTTGGGTGAAAATATATGCACTCAATGTATCGTTAAAAACGCTTGAGCAAGTTCAAAAATTGATGCCCTACGTTGAAACATTATCTATCACCACTCGACTACCTGATGATTATTTGGTATTCTATCAGTTTTGGAAAGAACTAATATCAACGTTACTTTTAAACTTGAATACCTTTGAATTAAACATAATGGCCCTTTATAGTCATCAACGAACTGCTATTATGGAAGAGTTTGAGAAAGATGATTATTGGTTATCAAGCCATGTCAAACTCAATGTTAAAGTACAGGTAGAATATCGATGTTTATGTACAAATGCGGCAAGACTACCACGTAGAAGAAACTGTTATTATCGTCGAATACGATATTTCTGGCGTCGTCTCTTCACTTGCCGGTGACTAAACAATATCTGGAAATTAGTCGACCAACACATTGAAAATAATATCTCACATTCTTCTGTTATTCTAGATTTAATATTTGCTTTTGTGTTTTGATTTGATTATTTGTTTATGTTCCTCATAAACGAAAACAATGTGTCATGTCTGTAAATTTACTGTCTGATACATCAAGACCTGATTGATATTCAGGACAGAAATGCATTTAAATCAATAAGTCGGATAACGTATTGCATTTAAATCGTCCACTATGAAACTGATAGGATTTACTATACGTAGGAATAAAGGTTGCAGCGAATCATGTGACCGAAGGCGAATATAGGCGACGTATGATAACTAAAATGAAACTCACGAGGAAAACTATCCAAGTGATACCTTCCGATTTTGTTCATTCATACGTCGATCGATTGAGGGTATCGAGCTAGTAAAAAGCATAAAAGGATTTTTTTCCATGACTACCGGAGACCCGGTTTTCTAGAAAACCAGTTTTTCAGAAACTCTAAAAAAAAAATAACAAGAACTTTTCTTAATATAACATGATTGTAGCCCCCAAATTTCTGATTAAAATGAGACATCTCCTAGCTCTACACGATCTTTCTTTGCGACGTTATAGAATTTACAAGAAAAACCCTAGATTAATTTCTTCTTATTTCTGTAGCTTTGAGTTGACACTGAATATTTAGGGCTTTTCTTATAAGTTCCATACCTTCGCAAAGAAAGGTCGTGTAGAGCTGGAAGATGTCCCATTTTAATCCGAGATTTACAGGCTACAATCATGCCCTATTAAGAAGATCTGGTTATTTATTAGTTTCTGAAAAACTGGTTTTCTAGAAAACCGTGTCTTCAAGAGTCGTGAGAAAAAATCCTTTTAGGCTTTTTACTAACTCGATGCGCTCTATCGATCGACGTATGAGCGAACGAAATCAGAAGGTATCACTCGGATAGGTTTCTTCGTCAGTACAGTGCTGTACTCTAAATTGGATTGGAGCAAGAGTGAAAAATGAAACTACACGGCATAGGTACGTAACGCGACCCTGTCAATGGAATAAATCTGAAGTAAAAAGAACGAAAAAACGATTAGTGTCATTTTGAAGAACGTAGTCAATAGTCACTAAAACATACTGTTTGTGTTCAGCGTGATCAGACTAATCAATCTTTTTGTTCACACAACCTGATTGAATCATCTGAAGATATATTTTTATCATGTAAGTTAAGTTACGTACTTCGTCCTTGACCTTTTAACATAAATTGATTAGATATGAATGTGTGATAGATTTATTTTCATCAGTAATAGTAGACGTTCTGTTATATATTTTTCATCGATTCACCTTCACCTGATTACACCTGATAACGACAGAAAAAGGTAATAATTTATAACGTACCGGAGTAAGAAAAATTTGTTCCACGTAGTGCGTGATTTCAAAATACAATAATTTTAGATTAAAACTTGAGAGAAAAAGATGATTTCTAACGGGCTAGCCCGAAACTAATTTTCTTGACTTGGACACTGTGTTTTGACTAGACAAGCAGCAGTTCCAAGCAAAAATCGAAAAAAATCACTATTCTTCGCTATTAAGAGCCCTTTATTTAAGTTTTGTTACAAGAAAACTTTAGTTTCATATCTTCTATCTGGTAATAGAATTAAAACTGCTAAATCAGTCGAAATATCTGTTATAATTGGGAAGAATTGGTTAAAACTGCTATTTTTTAGTAAATTCCACTAACTGTTTCGACTGATTTAACAAGTTTAAAACTATTACCAGATAGAAGATATGAAACTAAACTTTTGTTGTAACAAAACTTAAATAAAGGGCTCTTAAATAGCGAAAAATAATGACCATTGATAAATAAATAATAAAAATAAAATAATGACCATTTAAATAAGATGCACGTAATGCAAACTTACAGTGAAATTTTGTTTTGACTTTATCATACATATTCTTGTTCAGCGCATGGAGCTGATCACGAATATCATCTTCCCAGCCTCTAAAAGCCATTTCTTCATGGAGAAAAACTCAAATTACTGAGAGGACCTCAAAAGTATAAAAAACCGTCCTCTATGATGAAATTGATTGTTTGAGCTTGTATTGCAAGATGGAAGGTTCGAACTATATTTTTCTGAATCAGCATTGGAAACTGATTTAGA